GGAGAGGGCAGGAGGGAGGGAGCTGGTTCTGGGGGGCTGACAGAGCCTGGAGAGCGGATGTGAGCAGGACGGGAGGGCAAGGGGGGTCCCCGACAGGGTCCGGAGAGAACTGAGGGGTGGGGTCTCTCTCAAGATTACCGAGGCCAGGGACTGGCCGCGCCACTGGGGGGGGTCGGGACCTCCTTCTTTGCTCCCCCGGCTGGAGGGCCGAGCCCCCCAGACCCTGCTCGGGGCGGGGGGCCGGAGGAGCGGGACCGGAGGTGGGAGGCGGAGGCAGCCGCTAGTGGGGACCCCGGGGGCGGCGGTTGCGGGCGGCAGCGGCGGCAGGGCTGGCGGTGGCTGCTGGCCCGAGCATCTTCTTCCCGGAGGCTCCCACAGCGGCCTGGCCCCTCCCACCCGATCAAAGCCACGCCCATGCCGGGCAGGGCCGCGCCCTTTGGCGCCCCCATTGGTCCGTCCTTGAAGCCTGGGCCACGCCCCCTGAGTTGACCACGCCCGTTTCGGCGCTGGGAAAGGGACCAGGCTACCCCAGGCCACAGGGAGGACCCTGGGCTCATCCACACCTTCCCCACCCCTCACCTGTAACGTACGTTTATTGAGCACTTACTGTGTGCCAAGTCCGGTTCTAAGTAAGCGCTTCACAAACCTTACCACGTTTAATTCCCAGAGCAACCGACTCTGGGGTACTCTTTTTATGCCCATTTTACAGAGAAGGAAACTGAGCCTCAGAGACTTGACGTCACTTAGTCGCGATAAAAATTCTCACTTCACATGTCTCCCACCTCTGACAGCTGAGAAGTTCTCCGCTTGAATCTTTTGAAGAATCAACGCAGGATTACTGCCAGGGCTCTGGGGATTGAGTTTAATGAATACCTGTGTTAAGCATGTAGAGCTGAGCTTAACATCCTGTTGGCGCTCAGGTCAATCAACAGCACTTACGAACCACCTACAAGTGTCAGACACTGTCCTAAACACTGGGGTACAACAGGGAACAAAACAGTCTTGGCCCTTGTAGACTAAGGTATTACTATTCATGTCATTAAGAAAACCTGATTTTCAGACAACAAAGCAGACACTCAGGAAAATGGACTGTGGTTCACCCAAGGGCACACAGGTAGACAGACAGAGGGGAAACTGGGATTTGAACGAAGGACAAGCTTTATTTCAGAACCTGAAGTAGGGGGCCCTTCTTTGGAGTGGATCATTGCTAATATTCACTGTTCTCTGATACATGAATTTTCTTCTCCCTGAATTTCTTGTCTTCAAGGATTCTTCCTAGGTCAGCCAGATGCAAGATTAGGCTCAGAGGGGGCCTGGGTGGGGGTAATTGTGGCAGCTAGGGGGGGGCCTTCCTCTGCTCTATCCCACTCCTGCCCCACCCTTGTCATGCTCTCAGGTCCCCAGGTTGGGGAGGGTAGCAGATGGCCTGGGGAGGATGAAGTGGCCTCCCATCTGTCCCATCCCCCCCATTGTCCCCGGAGCCAAGGGGGATTCGAGGGGGTTGTGGTCCACTGCAGTCTGGATCCTCCCCCTCCATCTTCCTGGAGGGAGCTGAGGAGCTAGTTGCTATGGAGACAAGGAAGAGGCAAGAGAGATGCAGGGAGGCACTGGGGTCAGGGTGAGATCCACACCTTAGACCCTTTGATTCACATATACTCACACCACACAGGTACATATCCCAACATCCATGGAGTATGGCATGAATTTCCACATCCCCAGCACACGCACAGTCGCACCAGCCCTCCTGCAGACACACAGGTGTATACTCAACAGTTTCACACAGGCACACTCTGATGTATGAAGAAGATTCATGGGGATAGGTACACACACACACACACACACACACACACACACACACTCTCCCATAATGCATAATGCACATTCAGTCATGTGGACCGTATATATCACAGGTTCTCATGCAAAAATAGATAGACACACATCTGATATCCAAGTATGTCCCAGGTGCACATGTTCAAAGCCAAAATAACTCCACACTTGGCCACACACAACCTGTGAAGTTACAAGTACATGATCAAAGCCATAAGACATAAACAACCTATGTTACATAAGGCATACATGTTAGTGACATGTGATATATAGACTGACAAACAGACCCAATCCTGTCTTCCACACAAACTGGATAATCACACACATTTATATACATGGCTCTCATAGTCTAATGCACAAAATGCACGAGACCTCACAGGCCACTCAGCGACATGCTCAACACACACCGAATCCCGAGTATTGGTCAGCCCCCACCCCCAAGTCATGCCTGCAGCCCCAGCTCACACTCCCCCCCCGAAGCCCTCCCATTTGGACACACACGACAGCACGGTTGGTCACGCACTCACACTCACACACAAACACAAACCTCCTCCTAGATATTTTTAAACCCAGGCTAGTTCTGCTGCTATGGCAACCGCCCCAAACCCATTGCCATAGCAACCTAACGTCAGCTTTCCAAGCACCAAATCCTGGGGGATTGCAGGGCCCCAATCAGAGGCCAGAGGAGGGGGCTGCTGCACCCTCTGCCATCATCCGTGCCACCCCGGTACCTCCACCCCAGGGCCCCCAGGGGAGCAGTCACCTTATGGTGGGTAGGGAGGGGCTGGAGCCAAGGATGCAAGACCCTCCAGACCAGGCACCCCTCGACGTGCTTTTTCCTCCTGCTCCATCAGAGCTTTATGGAGGGACTCATGAGGCAAAGGTCAGCCTGCCCCTGGACACACACAAGCCAGGGTTTGAGTCTTGGCTCTGACATTTACATGCTGTGTGACTTGGGCATGTCCTTACCCTCTCTGAGTCTCATGTTCCTTAATTTGGAGAATGTTCCTGCTGTTGCTGTTGATACTAATACCCCAAGGGTTATTGTGACTCAGTGGCTAAAAGCCCAGCCCAGAATTGTATCCAAATTCTCACTCTCCCATTTTCTAACTGTGTGAACTCAGGCAAGGGCCTCTGAGTCTCTGCAACAATGTTGGGGGGCACATAGTAATCTAATTACATAGGGCTGTTGGGATGATTCCCAACAGAGGGGTGTGGTTGCTGAGCTAAGAACTTTGCATGTATTCCAACTGATTTAAGTCTTAAGCATGGCCTTATGGGTAAGTACTATTATTATTCCCATTTTGCAGGAAAAGAAACGGAGGCCCAGAGAGGCTGCCTGAGATCACCCAGTTTTGAAACATGAGATTTGAACCCAGGCAGTCAAAGACATGGCCTTAGCCATTTCTCTCTCCTGCCACTTAAAGAAGTTTGGAGAAGGGTGATGGAATGGTGGATTCCTGGAAATGCTTGCTAGCCTCAGTTTTCCAGCCCACAAAATGGGAGTTCAAATGGTACCACCAGCCGAGGTGTTGGAGGATCTCTGAGGCACCTTGCACCTGGGGCGCTGAGGATGGGTTGGCACACCTGAGCGCTCCATGTAGACGGGGAGCAGATGAGGAGGGGCAGGGCAAGCTGGCAAGTGGGTAGTCTGAGGAGGGAGGTTGGCTCTTCTTCCCAGCCCTGTGACCTCAGGCATGGGCTTTCCCCAGTCTGAGCCTTATCTCATCATCTGTCAACTGGGAATCATAAGAGTGCTGAGGGTGCAGCAAGGAGTCCAAGAACCAAAGCAGGTGAAACCACTTGGCCTGGGTCCCAGCCAGCGAAGAGAAAAATCTGAGCTGATATTAATACTCTCCATCCCATCTGTGCATGGGATTTAGGAGTCAGGACTGTGGAGTGCAGGAGTTTGCAAACCATTTTGACCGAAGGTAAGAGATACTATATCATCATTCAATGCATATAACACTGAAACAAAAGTTTCATGAAATCATACTTCACCTACACTTTCGTCTATACTCTGTTTACACGATGTGCACAGACTCCCATCTATTCTTTTCTATTGAAAAATGTTGGTTGATTTCACAGTCCCCTAACCAGTTGTGACCAACAGTATGAAAAACCCCAGCATGGCGGTTTGGGGTGCAATCCTGGAGTCGTTGGAGAGTTTTACACAGGGGAGTGCCATGGGCATCAAAGGGGCAATGGAGGGGTTGCCAGCCTGGGGGCTAGGATGGAGCCAGACTCCAGGGAGGAGGAGCTCTTTGCCTGGGCCCTAGCAGGGGCAGGAGAGATAGAGAGATGTGATCAGAAGCCAACACATGAAGAGTTAACACAGTGTTTTGAACACAATGTATGGTGGTTACGAGCATCAGCCTTGAAGACAGATCCTCACTCATCCATTTGACAAAAGTATTTATTGAGCATGTGTTACGTGTTGGGTACTGTTCTAGGCACTGGAGATATAGCAGTGAAGAAAATAGACACAAATTCCTGACCTCATGAGCTCACATTCTGGGGAAATAGATAATCAACATGCAAAAGAAGTTAAAAAAAAATATATATATATAGTATGTTAGATGATAAAGACTGTGGAGAAAAACATATCAGGGAAGGGGGAAGAGGGGTTGGGGTACAAGGGGGTGAGAGTAGGGCTTTGGGTTTAAATATAATAGACAGGGGAGGCCTCACTGAGGAGGTGGCATTTGAGCAGAGACCTGAAGGAGGAGGTGAGGGAGTGGGCCATATGGGTCTCTGGGGGAAGAGGGGCCCAGGCAGAGAAAAGAGCAGGTGCAAAGGCCCTGAGGCAGGAGTGCACCTGGTATGTTGGAGGAAGAAAGAGGAGCCCAGGGAAGCTAGAGCCAAGTGCGGGAGGGGAGAGTGGGAGGAATGAGGCCA